CTCGATGGAAAACGTCTGCAGTGACGAGAGCGGTGCCATCCCTCCAGAAGGGGAGGTGGGTTCAGGCTGAAGCAGTTGAAGCTGCAAAGAGATCGTCGTTGACAGAGGCCCACTGGACAATCACAACGCTGCAGCCTCGACCCTGGATCCCCTGAGTACCGACCACGGAAACCTTATTCAGAGAGAAATGTAGTTAGTTACATGTGTTTCACACAGACGGGCTGGACTTACACGGACCCCGAAAGAGACACATAATGTTCAGGATCGACTCCTCCGAACTTCGTTCGCCATCAAATTGAATTACAGATTGAATTATAGCTATAATTCAATCTATAATTCAATCTATAATTCAATCTATAAAACCATATATGTATATGAAAAACGTGATTGAATTATAGATTGAATTATAGCTATAATTCAATCGATAATTCAATTTGATGGTTCGCATGTGCACCCTGGGCATTGCACTGCATGGTTGTGAACTCGCACTGCAAAAATGGAGCACGCAGTTTTCAACAGTACAGCAGCCGTTGCCAGCGGGATCTGATCTACAGGGCTGGGCCTCGGCGAGCGAGCACGCGCCGCCGCGCTCGGCGACGGCGCATGCGAAACACTATCTGGACTCTGTCCGTGCCCATCACTTCGAGGACTGACTGCAGATTGGCTGATCGTCCGAGTCTGTGCCATCGTCATCCACACCTCTGGGCGGAGCAGCTGATGGCCTCTTCCTGCTCGCCTGGCCCTTGCCCTTGGCCTGCTTCTTCGCCGTCGGGGTCTTGTCGGGCTTGTCCTTGCCCTTGGCCCCCTTGCCCTTGGAGCCCTTGCCAGTGCTCGCGTCCTTGGACTTGCCCTTGGTCTTCATGACTGGCTTCTCGCGCCTGCTCGATTTGACGAAGAACTTCTTCTCGTCCACCTCGTCCGCTGCATCTCGGGCCCCCTCCGTCTTCTCGTCGGCGCCCTCCTGCAACTGCGGCATGTACGGCTTGAGCTTCGCCACGCGCTCATTGAACTCCGCGTGGCTCTCTTCTATGGTCTGTAGCAGTGGTTGCATGTTCTCCGTGTGCCAGTTGATCCCATTGGTCCAGTTCTCGAAGTGCTCCATGTCTGCGAGCAGCCTCGATGCATCATGCTTGAGCTTCTCGGTCCACTTGTTGTCACCAAGCTTCTCGATCCAGCCCTGCGCGACCATCATCGCGTCCATGGTGTTCTTCAGGCGAAGTGACGCGCCCTCCACGGCGACGACGAACTCATCGTGTTCTGAATTCGGACGCTCATCACGCTCATCATCGGCAGGTTCCCGCCCATCGCCGTCGTCACCGCCCTCCAAGTCCACGACCTCGGAGTTGAGCGTCGGGTGCGCCGCCTCGCCCCGCTCGCCGGCTACGCTGTCACCATCGCCAGGCTGCTGCTGGGGCTGTCCCTCGCTGGGAGCTGCTGTGGTATGATCTCGCCATTGCTGCCCAGGCGATGGCCTCGCCCTCCAAAGGCGACAAACTCACCAGACATAGAGGGAACTAGGGCACCCCAGAATGATCTTGGTTTGAGCCGAGAGACGGCTCTGGAACGGACGTGTGCCATTTGCAAATCCCACCAGCCCTCTGGGCGTAGGTGGTTTAGGGGAGTTCCTCTTGAGGCCCCTTGGGGGTCTAGGGAGCTTCTTCAGGGCCTCTTGGGGACCTCTTGGGGCCTCCTGGGCGCCTCTTGAGGCCCTCTTGGGGCGCTCTTGGGGGCCTTGGGAGCGCTCTTGGGGCCATCTAGGAGGTGATCGATCAAAGGAAGGGGGCTAAATTCGGCCAGCACCCTAGTAAAATCGGTGATGTTGGCTTCCTCGCCGAGGCCGTTTTGGACGCTCCAACTACCAGCGACCCCCCCCGTCCAGGTCCAGGGGAGGGGGTTAGGGGGAGGGGTAAACCCCTCCCCGAAGGGGAAGAAGGGAAGATGGAACCCGAGGCATCCAAGAATCCCCCAGGCGCTCCAAGAGGACTCCCAAACAACTTCCAAGGGACATCCTAGGAGGCTCTTGTGCACGTCATTGTTCGTGTTCCTTCTCATCTTTCTCATCCTCCTCCCCCTCCTCCTCCTCCTTGTCGGCCTACTCCTCCTCCGTCTCCTCAACTTTATCAGCCTCATCCTCCTCCTCCTTTCCTCTTCTCTCCTCATCCTCCTCCTCCTCCCCCTCCTCCTCATCATCCGCCTATTCCCCCTCCTCCCTCCTCCCTCCTCCCACTTTTCCCACCTGCTGCCCCTCCTCCCCCTCCTCCTCCTCCTCATCCTCCTCCGACTCCTCCATCCTCGCCCTCTTGGGTAAGACGGGTCCCCCAGCCCTTTGCTACTCTGTATGCTCCCTCACTTACCCTGATCACCGCAATTCGCCTGGGCATCGTTTTTGGATGGGCTGGTGGGGATACGCGAAGCGTCAAAATTTCAGATCACGAGGTAAGGCCGCTGGCCACCGCGACGGATCTTTCGTTTTGCGGACTTGGCTCGAACCCCGGTGGGATCTGATTGGGCCCCGAGTCGAATTGTAGATTGAATTATGCGTTGAAGTATGCATGGTTCAATCATTCTTCAACCGCCTTGTTGTTTCTCGTATGTTTCGGTGCAGCGACCCATGTCCTCGGATGGGCTGTTCACGCACACTGAAAACAAGTGGTCACATAGTGTTTGATTCCTGCAGCCCTAAACTGTTTCCCAAAAGTCAAAGTGTTTCTTCGGAGACATTCGCGAACGCGGAGCCAAAGGGGCTCTCTTGAGAGGCCCCCACCAGATCATGCAAGGCAAAACCATCGCTCGAGACATCCTCGACAAAAGCTGAGCTGTCCTCCACGCGATCCCCCAGGGGAGCCTGGAATCTACAAGATGCGCCCGTCGCTTGAAACATCCTCAACAAGTTCCGTGGACGGTGTTTCGCTTGAGACACCCTCGACACACGAATGCAATTCTTACTCTTTAATCTGACTGTATTTCCATTTTCTGTGGGCCTGCCCTGCGCTTCGAGGTGCAACCCAGAAATTGCCTGCAACAGCGAGCCCCAAATCGCCGAGCAGCGCAGCAAAAATAAAACTCATGTGTCTTCGCCAATGGCCTTGAGCCAGCGCGAGACCTGCTTGTTAGCATACTTTGCTGCAGACTCCAATGCTGTCTCCCTGGGCCACCCCATGTCGAGTCGGTATTTCTTCTCCATGGCGTGCGCTTTGGAATACACTCGGTTCCTCAGCAAAGACAGGCGCGCGCCCTTGATGCCGATGTAGTTGGCAATTGGATCGACAGCACTCTCGGTGGCATCGGCCTTGCTCTTGGCTGGTGTCTTGCGCTTGGCCGACGATGGCGACTTACGCTTGCCCTTGCCCTTGCCCTTGCGCTTCTTGCGCTTGCCCTTGGCTACGTGCACATGCTGCTCTTGTCCGTCTTCAGAGCCCTCATCTGCAGAAGAATGCAGTGGCACGGATGGTTTCGTCTTATCCTTCTTGGTCTTGTTGGTGCTGGCGTACTCCTGCGGAGATGGCCCTGCAGGTGGACACGCCGCCAGCTCGGCCAGAGCTGATGCCGTCAGCGGAACGGCCCCAGGTGTCGTGGTGGCACTCGTAGACGACTTGGATCCGAACAGCTTGCGCTCCAAGTCATCTTCGCTGCTCACGGCGTCGTCTAAGCGAACCTCCTCGGCTTTCTCGTCGCCGCTGATCTCGACCGTGGCGGTGTTTTTTGGGAAATCGGCGCAACGGTCGGGACGTCCTGCTTGCGCGAGAGCCTGCGATTGCCACCGTCGTTCTTCACGAGCTTCATCATGTCCATGAGGATCTGGAGTTGGCCGTAGTTTCGAGGGGCATCTTGATCGCGACGCTTCCTGTCAAGAAGAGTCGACAGCATCGTGCGGAGGTTCAGCACGCACCTCTCTATTTCTGTAGGCGTCCATTGCAGACCCTTGCCAGCAATCCACTTCCTGAACGGGCGGTTGAGCGAAACCTGGTGAGGAATGAGCCCATGTGAAGTCATGAGAATCGCGTGGAGCTCATCGAACGCCTTCTTCAAGGCTGGCCAATCAGATGTCATCCCATGCGCTGTCAAGCGCGATAAACACCACAGCTTGTCTGGGGTGCATTGCGACATCTTGATGTGTGAATCGAAGATGCGCTCAGCATCGTCACCTCCGAGGTCGCAACCAGGGGTCCGAAGGGCTGCCATGCTGAGCCAAAGTGGCTATGCAAGAACACGGTGGCATCATTTTTTTTTTGGGGGGGGAGGGGCATTTGCGCGCGTGTGGTGTGGTGTGGTCCAGGCATCACAGGAAAGAGAACGCCCAGGCCAAAGCCCCCCCCCCCCTTTAGAAACTTCTGACCAACATGGGCAGCGTGGGCAGAAACAAACTTCAAAGACACACGCACAACGCAAACCATTGGCAATCACACACCAAAATCAGGACAGCCCAGGGAACTCTGGGACGGAGGGGGATTTGGGTTTCGGATTTGGAATGGATTTCCCAATCAATCGTTACGCAGAAAATGTGCGTGTCACCCGTTACGGCGTGGCCTCCGATTTCTTAGGACACGGAGCGCTCACGATTGAAATGTGGCTCCTCCTCCAAAATGGGGCTCTCGCCTTGGGGCCTCTTACAGCCTCTTGGGGCCTACGAGCCTCTCAGGGCATCTTGGGGCCTGTGGGTCTCTTGGGGCCACATGGGACGTCCTTCCACTCTCCTGAGGGCCTCTGATGGCAAGGATGCGGGCCCTATGACAATTGGAACCCATGATGGCAAGGATGCTGACCTTATAGCGATTGCGTGCTTCAGTGCAGATTGCAATGCATATTGCATTGGTGATCCAACTGTTTTTATCAGTGCACGCATCGCTGCACGTCCCAATAGCATAGTTCATCCAATCGCTTCGTCCCCACGCCGTCGGCGGGGAAAAAACTACAGCCTTCGCGTCTCCACGCCACTGGTGGGAAAAATACAGGCTTCGCACTCGCATGATGAGCCGCTCCCTCACTCAGGCCGCGCCGCGCTAAGCCTGCTCCAAGGGCCCAGCGGTCGACCCCGCCAACTTGCGCTCGAGTGCCTCGACCTTTACCCAGAGAGTCTTGGTGTCCGTGGGCACCGCTGGACTGCTGCCACTGCTGCCGACTGACAGGGGATCCACCCACAAGGACGGGTCCTTCTGCTTCCAGCCGTAGTGCACCCAGGAGTTCGGATCGCCAGCCTTTCACGGGACCTGGTAGGGGGCGCCATCCTTCTCGATCAGGAGCGTCTCCTCGCCCGTCTCCAGCTTCATGATGATCGCCTGCTCGTCGCTCTGGGGCTCGTTGTAGTTCTTGTCGCTGGTCACGTCGACTGTCTGGTTCGCCTTGATGTTGATGAAGCCGTGCTGCTTGCTGAGCTCATCGATCATCTTCGTGAGCGAGTCGATCTGGTCCTTCAGCTGATACTCGTACTCCGACTTGGCCATCTGGTCCCTGACGTTGTCCGCCTTGCCATGCTTCGCGCGCACCAGGCTGAGCTGGAGCAGGCGCTTGTGATCCTGCAGCGTGGCAATCTCGCGGGAGATGCCAGCGCCGACGTCCTTCATGATAAAGGCCGTGCTCTGGAGGTTGACCTCCGCCCTCCTCATCGCATGGTCGTAGTTGCCGACAATGCTGCTTTGAAACGGTTCGCCTGGGACAACGCCGCGGAAATGGCCCGTAGATGCCATGAGGGCTCGGGGTCGAGCCACGAGAGAACGAAGACAGAGCCTCGAGGGAACGAATATGAAGACTCGAGGTCGTGAAAGCCCCGAGGAAGAATGCGTTGGCTCGAGCCCCAGACGCTACTGTCGAACGCTGGGTTTCTTGTTGCCCACTCGCACGTTTCGTGACCCAAGATACCCAGGACACCCAATATACACAAGATACAAAATATACCCCAAATACCCCAGGTACCCCAAGATACCCCAGACACCCGAGCCACCCCAGACACCCAAGGCCCCAAGATACTTTCAATATAGCCAAGATCCGCTCGGACCCGTAATTTGGATCCCCGTGGTATTTTTAAAGAAAAACCATATCTCTTACGGGTTTTCGTTATCTTGTTGAAGGATTTATGTGTTTTACATGTGGTTTTTAAAAGATTCCGCTTGATTCTAAAGTTATTCTTTAAAAAGCAAACGTAAAATCATAAGAAACCGCAAGAAAATAAAGAAACCGCAAGATAATGAAGATGTTAATGGTCGGGGTGCAGGTACTTGACCCGGAAGTCGGACCCATGGAACGTCATGCCTCCGTTGGCGGTGTCGACCGCGACCAAGAGTCGCGGGTTGACGCCCAGGCGGGGCGCGAGGGGCACCTCGGAGGCTCCCTCCACCGTCCATCCCGAGGCCTCCTGCCCGGCCGGGATGAAGTCCGCCGGGTCGTCCTCCGTCTCCTCCCCCCCTGGGGTCAGAGGGACTGGCTCCCCTCCAAAGGGGTTCCCCGAGGCAGACTCCTCCCGCAGCCAATCCCGAAACTTGTGCAGCGCGTGGAGACGGGGTTCCTGCCGGCGGCGGCGGAGCCGGCGACGCCGCTCGGGGTACTCCCGGAGGAGGGCGAGGAAGGTCTCGCCGCCCCAGTCTAGGTGGCCGGGAACGCCGTCGGGGACGCGCAGGGTGGCGCGGTCGAGGTGTGCGACCGCTCGGCGGTCCCGCGGGGGTTCGCCCTCCTCCCGGGGCCCCGCGGGCCAGAGTCCTCCGAGGAAGGCGGATGCCCGCTGCGTGAGTGCGCCGGCTCCCGCACGCTCCCTCGTCTGGACTGGCCGCCTCGGGTCGCGAGGGTCGGCGACCAAGGCAGGGTCTCGGTCCTCTCCGATCACCAGCCGGGCGAGGCGGCTGTCTGGGGGCGGGGGCAAGGGGGCCTCCGTAAGTCCCGTCTTCCACGGATCTGGAAACTTGGCCCGCGCCCTGCGCTCCTCCGTGGTGAAGATCAGGCGCGTCACCAGGAACCTCCAAATCTCCTCCGTCTGCTTCTTGGCTACCGCCAGGTGCGCGCCTGCCCCCATCCTGCAGAGGTGGCAGGAGATGTAGCGGGAGGTCCCGTTGGCCCCGACGAATAGAGTGTGGGGGGCCACCCGCGCGTGGACACAGGGCACCTCCATGACTCCCATGCCGCGCCGCACGCGGGGTTTGGGCGCGGTCCCTCCCACCTGGCCGCCTGCCGCCTCCACGTGATGCAGGATGGCGGCGATCCGCTTGCGCTGGCCGCCTCCGACGCTCTGCTCCTCGATGACCCTCGGGAGGTCCTCCACGCCCGGCTTCGCCTCCCCTCCCGCACCGGGTGGGTCCCGAGCCGCAGGGGGGGAGCCCTCCTTGGCCCGGACTCCGGACTGGGGAGGGCGATCCCCTCCCCCGGCTTTCCGAGGAGGCGCCCCGGCTCCGTTCCCGGGGCCGGGGTCGTCCCAGGCTTCCGCTCCTCCCCCGCTCTGGGGAGCCGTCCTTGGGCGGGCAGTCTTCCGGTTGGGCCGGCGCGGGGGGGCCCCTCGGGTGGTGGTGGCGGTGCTTGCAGCCCGGCGTCTTGCAGGGGCGGCTTTTCCAATAGTGCCGGCGCACCCCTGGGGGGGGCTGGGTGTTGTCGTAGTGCTTCCAGCGCCTGCGCGACGTGGGCCCACTCCCCTTCCCCAAGCGAGACTTCCCTCGGGACTTCCCTCGGCCGCCCTGTGGCTCTTTCCCCCACCCACGCCCCTTTCCTCCTTTCGGGGGTGTGCCGGGCCTCTTCCCCTTCCCGGTGGGGCGGCCCTGTGGGGGTGAAGTCCCACGTCGGAGACCCAGGACGAAGTCCTGCAGGGTGAGGGTCGTCTGGGGTTCGGTCTCGCGGTCCCCCTCGGGGTTCCGCTCGGCGTACCTGGCCCACGCTTCCGCTCCCCTCTCGGTCCGCCGCATCCGCTCCACCTCGGCCAGGAGCCATTCCCTCTTGTGGCAGGGCTCGCCGCAGCTACCGCAGCTATCCCTCCTCCCCGGGTGGTTGGGGCCGCTCTGGCACTTCGGGCACCACCGCGCCCTTACCTTGGTCAGGAAGTGCGCGGAGCAGTTCTCGCAGCGACTCCGACGGTCCCCCACCTCCTTCCCGCAGCCGAGGCATAGCCAGAGGCCACCCGGTTGGGCAGGAGGGCGGGGCTCACGCGGCTCTGCTGTGGGAGGCTCGGCCCTTCTGGGGCTGCGGGACCTAGGGGGCGGCGAATCCCGCGTGCGGAGCCCAGGCCCCCCCCCCCCGGTCCGCTTCCACGGGGGGCTGGGGCTCCTCTTGCGGGGGCCAAGCGAGACTTCCTGCCGGACGGAGCCCCTGGGGGTGGACACGCGCCGCACGCCCGCGCGGCCCGGTGCCGGCGGCGGGCGGGGTCCAACTTTGCTCCCCGACCCTCCTCGCCGGCGCAGGGAGCGCTCACGAGGGGCACGACTCTCCACCCTTCCCCTTCGGTCTGGTCCCTCTGGGCATGCCCGCCGCCCCGCGCTCCGGGGGCGCGCGTGCTCCTCCGGTCGAGGGCCCCGCGAGGCGCGCGCTCCTCGGCCCGGGTCGCGGCGGGGACTGACGGGCGAGCGACGGCGGGGCCCCTTGATCCGCCGTGGGGGCTCGGAAGCCCCAGCGTCCCTCCGGCTCGGGCGGCTGTCCCGGGGGGCCCTGCTCCCTCCCCTCCCGCCGCTCGCGCTTTCCCCTCTGCGAGCCTCGGCGGTGTCCTCATTTCCCCTGCTTCTCCGGCGCTCCGTGGGGGGGCGTGGGGCGAGGCTTTCGGCGGCTGGTTTCCCATCCCCGGCCTGCCTGCTCCGGCCACTGGCGGCCTTCTCGCGCTCGCTCTCCGACGATCCGCCCTGTGGGGACATCTCTTCTTCCTCCTCACACTTGGCCCCCCCCTTCTCCCCCTTCGGCCTCTTTCCGAAAGTGGGGGGCCCTTTGGTGGTTATTCCTCCATTCTCGAAGGTGGAGTCCGGCGGAGGGTAGACCGTGCCCTTCTTCATTTCACTCAGGAACGTGTCGACCAGCCGCTGGGGGTACTTCCGCCTGTTCCCCCACTCCGCCTCCTCCCACCCCGCTCCGACGCTCCGGGCGTAGCGGTACCATTGGGTGCGGATCTGGGCGCCGTGCTTCTCGTCCTTCCCCAGGAGGTCCAACATGTCCTGGCCCCGTGCCTCCTCCAGCGCCTGTGTGGCTCGGTTGAACGCGTCCAGGTGCGCCGGGGCCCCCCTCCCCTCGGCCCCCCTCCGCGTTGGCGGGTCTGGTCCCTTCCCCCCGGTCTCGCCGCTTAGGGCGTCCGTGGCGGCTCCGGGCGATGCCCCGCCGATGCCGCCTTCCTCCCTCTGGAGTTGAGGGTCCGAAGGCCCTTCGCCCCCCCCTGCGGGTTTGGGTGGGCGGGGAATTTCGCCGACGGCATCTGGGGCCGGGGGCGCCTCTGCTTGGCGCGGGCGGGGCCACACGCCCCGGTGGCGGATCCAGGTGAAGGCCTCCTGCGCGGGCCCCAGTGCGAGGGCGTGCCCCTGGTTGAGGAACAGCTAGGCGTCGGGGGAGTCGCCGCTCGCGCGGCTGGGAATCCGCGTCTCGCGGAGGTAGGCGTCCTGGAGCGTGCGCACGTGGAGGTCGACGCTGGTGAGGGCGGGGCCTCCCAGTAAGGGAAACTCTCGGTAGTCTCTCCCCGAGTGCGGGACGGCGGCTCCCGCCCGGAGTGCGTCGTCCAGGGGCGAACTGGAGGCCGGCGGCGCATCGCCGGCCGCCTCCAGCAGCTCCGCCCGGTAGCGGGTGGCCAGGGCGTGCACTTCCCCCTGATGAGGGGGGGTGCCATGCTGCCGCCACAGCGAGGAGGCGGCGGTGCTCAGGAGCACGCACTGCCCTCCCTCCGGTTCGCCTTCCTGCAGCCCCAGCTTCTCCCGCATGAGATGGGCGTGGGGCCCCGTGGGGTGGAGGTACTGGCCGAAGTCGAGCGTGCCCCAAGCCGTGCGGCGCGGGCAGGTAATGCACGCCAGCACCCCCGGGGCGGGCGCCTGCGTGGCGCTCTGCTCGGGCCCCCCCCTCCCCGTGGTGGGGGGGTCCCCTGGGGGTGTCTCCGTGCCCCGGTTGGCGTTCTGCCCGCCGCGGGTCTTCGGGCGGGGCTTCGGCCCCTTCCGGAGCGCAGCCATGCGGGCACCCACCGCCGCGGGCGTCACGAGGGGGAGCTTGTGGAACCCTCCGAAGCGGAAGAAGAGCAACCTGGTCTCCATGGGGAGGCCCTTCAGATCATTGATCTTCTGGTGGGCGCCCCGGCAGCCGCTCCCCCGCCAGCGCGTGCTGTGGCAATTGAAGGGGATGCAAATCCTCTTGCCCTGCGGGTTCTTAAGGACACCCGCCAGGGCCGCCTTATGCTCCTCCGCCTCCAGGGCCGTGCCGATGGGGTACTGCGGGCTGTCGTCCTGGCCGGCGCGCCCCGCCGGGGGCGGGGGTGGCACCTTCGCTCTGCTCGTCCGCGAGAGGGCAGACAGGGCGGACCGTTGCTCCCAAGACTTACGGGACACCACCCGGGCTCGAAAGAACCCGTTGGGGTGGTCCAGCTGGAAGGAGAGGGGCATCTGGAATCGCGGCTGGCCTCCCGGCCCCTCCAAGGTGGAGCCTGAACTCCTCCTCGGTGGGGTTCTGGTTTCTGAGG